GGGTGGCGGGGGGGCTCGAGGAACCGAGGACTCCCTCGAGGGTCCCGTCAACGGGGTGGCATCCCCTGGCTCGATGGCCTCCTCCACGACGGGACCCACCACTTCGCTCAGCCGACCTCCCAGCCTGCTGACTTCTACCTGCGACCTGAACGACCCTGTCTCCCTCCTTTACCTGCTCTTCCTTTCAATCCTCTCGCCTCTGTTTTCCTCTTCTTCTCCTTCTTCTCCTTCTTCGTCTGTCTCGTTAACGCGATCGCGTAACTTCTCCCCCGCGAGGTTACCTCGAGCAACGTTCTACGTTGAGTAACCGCGATCGATAAACCAACAAGTTCACGAAAAAAAAAAAAAAAATACCGTCGTAGTCGGCGCACACTCTTTCCTCGGTTGAATAGTTGGTCGGCTGACACGCGAAAACTTCCCTCCGCAAGCTGGCTGTCACGAGGGAAAATGTCGTCGATGCGTAGAGAAGATGTCGGTCGACGTGCAAAATGGCGAGCGATCGATGTTTCGCCGCCCTCCGCCTTTCGGAGGGAGGATCAATCAGGTGAATGAAAACACAGAAGCAACACACCGGATTACCCCTCACCAGATATTATTACTCCGTTCTTTCTTTTCCTCTGATTCGAAGGGACGCATACACCCCCCCCTTTTTTTTTGTTTCTGGCAACTCTCTTCCCTCTCACGATCCCTTTCAACTTCCGTTGTGATGCCGTTCACCAGCACACTCGACGCACTGTCGCCGCACTCGGTTACCACTTTCCAACCGTTGCTTCCACGCGGTCCTGCTGGATCCTCCGATTTAGATTGGCACGAACTTTCCTTGCCGATGGATCGATATCAGCCAACAACAAACCATCCACGAGAACGTTCACTCTTCGTCAACCCTCGAATCATTCGAGCGTTTCTTTGTTTACGCCTTTGTGTTCTCGTGCCTGTCTCGACTGACCAGAGAGAATGTCCACCAATTCTTTGTTTCCTTTGTTTTCTTTTCTTCTTGCAAAGGGTTTCTCGTCTCGTATTAATACGGAACGTTCAACGACGCAGTACACGCTTCTCGAAGGCGAGCGTCGAACACTTTGGCCTGTCCACGCTCACGACACGAGCTGTCACTGTTGACAACGCGCGAGGGGCTGCGTGTGTACGTTGACAGAGCTTAGTCGGGAAACAGTGGCGCGGCGAGCTCCGATTCGTGTCTGCTGGCTGCCGTGTTCGCCGACGTCGCCGTCACCGTCACCGTCCTCGTCCTCGTCCTCGTCGTCGTCGGTCCTCTCGTTCGTTTGTTCGTTCGTCCACCGCCAGACTTTCTACGACCAACCAACACGTAGCACGCCCCATCCCTGTTATCGGTGCGCGCGCAGTCGTTCGATAAACGCGCTACGTCGATTTCACGGGGGTGGAAGGACAAAGACGGAGGCAACGGCGTCGAACGGCCACGGAGAAGGAAGGAGAGAACACACGGGAGCACCGAGGCATCTCCGAACAGAAGGGTGAAGAACGGACCGCGAAGGTGAAACGAAGAGAGGCCAGCCACGGCGCATACGCCCAAACTTTTCTTTCGTTCTCGTCGACGCCGCGACGCTCGCTTCCTCCACCGCCGTTTACTTGCGAATTTACGAATAACCTAACCACCCTCCCGACCTCCCCGGTCCCGCGCCTCTTACGCGAATGTTTGGCCGGAAGCGACCGCGAGACCTGAACGTAGGTCGAGATTCTACCTCGCGAAGAAACAGCCATTCCGCCCAGTGGGAGGGGAGAGGGGGGGGGCTGTTTCTCGCTATGCGGTTTTCCACTCGGTAAACAATTTTATACCTCGGCTTTCGACTCTTTGTCCCCTCTCTGTGAGGGCTTCTTCCTTCACGGGAGTTTTCCAGGTGTCTCGATGCGTACGCGTCGACGTTTTAGAAGTGGGTTAGATCTATTGTTTGATGATCGAAACGAAAGGAGCTTTTGTTTTGAGCGAATTATATATATACAGGGTACAAGCACACGTTCCTTGAAGATTTTTCCAAGATTCAAGAAAGGAGAATTTGAAGGGATTTGTGAATTATGTCGTGTACATTGCGATGAACGTGAGGATAACAGCTTCTATCAGCTCGCAAAAAAGTGGATAGATTATAGAATGCAAGTAATATCGAAGGATTAAATAAACTAATTAAAAGATTAAAGAGTCTGTTTGCTTAATGTAATGATCGATCTACTTTTTATACGTTTTATTAAAACTTGCATGCCTTATTTATAAGGTTTGGTTAAGTAAGAACGAGAGACGTCTAGAATTTTTCAGAACTCCGATATGTTGTGTAATTTAACGTGCCAGTTATTAATCAAAAATAAATACTTTTCGACGCTGAGTATCGGTTCTTGGACTTATATAGGACTTAATAAACCTGGTAGAACACCCTAGAGAGATAAAACCTTTGTCGTTGCAGAATATAGATTATTATATCTCATCCTTCTTTTTTTTTTTTTTTTTTTTTTTTGTTGTTGTTAAAACGTAGATTGATCAAGGCCTTTGAGAAAGGTCGTGACACTTTTTAGTTGTCGTGACATTTTATTTATGTTTATATGTGTTATATCTGTCTGATATATCTTTATTATCCTATTTTATCCTATCTGACGTGTACGGGGTGTCCCATTTTAATCTTTCATAGCACATATCTACAAATCATATCTATCGAAAAAAATATTTCGAGACAGATATCACTCTGTCGTTTATTCGATATTGCAATAATGTTAACAAAAAATCTGCAAAGATCGGTATTAAATTTTTAAATTGAAGTTTATATTTTTTATTATACATTATTATAACTAATATCGAGAGATAAGCTAATAAATGTTCAAATTCTCGACCTTTTTACTTCGATGGGTGTATACTTCTAAGCAAGTAGTCATATCCGTAATTTCCTTTAGAAGATAATTGGACGTGATTCTAATATTTAAAAATCATCGAAGCAAACGAATTAAATGTATATATGTGAAAGTGTGTAAAACAAATGGTAACGTCTTGCTTGGTTTTTGCAATTTGTATAATTAATGGTAAATCGAAACACGGAGTGATATGAATATCGTGTTTCAAACTTTCACCCTTGCTTGCTCCCACTAATACTAGCGGTGCGTCAACTTTAAGAATTCATATCTCGAGGAATAATTTATTATAAAAAAGTGTTTTAAAAATGTCTCGATGAAAGTTATGATAGTACATGGTCAGAAATGTAGATATTTAAAAATTCAACATTGATCTTTGAAGATTTTTTCAAGATTATCGCACGGTCAAATATAAATGACAGTATGATTTGTTTTCAAGAAAAGCGAGTTTGAAAGTTCGTCAAGTACATATATATATATATATATGTAGATACTTGGATTTATAATAATTAATTCTAATTTGAATATAAATGAACAATCGACAGAAGATTTGAATATATTTAATTAAGAATTATCTTAGTACACGTGCAGCTTATGAAAAAAATTTGTTCGACATTTTTCACTTCTTTCCTCACTCCTATCAATTATTCTCCCTTGTCCGAACCAGATTTACTGAATTCAAGTGTATTTGACAAATTTTCAAATTCGACGAGAATATTTAAATCACGTAATCCTTTTGTACAGAGAACACAATACAAATATGTATTTCAAATGCTTCAAATAATAAATTCAATATCAAATATAACTTTATTAATTTCATTTATCCTGTTTTTTTTTTATAAGCTACAATATTCCTGCTATCGAGTAAAAAATTCGTTTTCAATTAGCGTTATTATTTTTATCAATACTTAGTAATAACGTTACTCATTAAATAGCTGAGTTATCCAAAGTTAAATGGAAAAATGTTACTCTTTCCTTTCAACGGATTCTTCTGCGTAGAATAATTTTCTGGCTGGTTGTACCATGATTATACTTATATATGTACACGAGCACTCATACATCGCTGAATTGCGGATCTTTATGCAATATCATAGTTTTATGAATGTAATTAAAGAAATGGAACTTAAACAGATATTTGCCTCCTGTATTAAATATTACAACTATTTTCAATGTTTTTACATATTTTCACATACACTCTGCACTTTTGAATCTTTTAATTTCCCAGAAATTCTCATAATTTCATACAATAATGATAATGTTAATGTCTAGACTGCGGATCTTCATACGTCGATGAAGAATTTAGAAATATGAAAATCTGCAGAATACGTGTGAATTTTCTGCTACAGCTACGTCCCTTTAATTAATCCTGTAAAAATTTGAAATTGCATAAAAATTTGCGATCCAATAAATGCCGTGAATTTCTCAACTTAATTTCAAGATTATTAAGTTTGTCTTTTCCTTTCCTTTTTCTGGTTATCAAACAGCTTCTGCGAATCACGAGGAACAATGGCGAAATACCTAAGTGTTATATATGTATATTATTTCCTGCGAAGTTGACAATTCACGTCCATTTGATAATTCCGTGAACGTTCCAGATTTAGTTAACTTTGAAATAAGGGAACTCCACTGTTCCAAGAATTGTATACACGAGCACAATATCAGCATTATTCCGCGCTCGAAAACTTGACTAGTCAAAAGATAAGTAGAAACGAGACGTACACAGAGACAGCGTGTCTTTATCGTTATCTAACGTTCATCGTTGCTTTCGAGACTTGACTAGACAACGTTTATCTCGATACTCATACACCCAATGTACGAACATGTATATTCCTTTTTTTCATTCGACTACTATTGCTTGATTTACTAAGCAAATTTCTTGCTGATTAAATATTTTCACCTGTTTTATCACTTCTGGTGAAGCTGGTATTAAATATCTTAGGAAATTTTCCACTCGAAACCCAATTGCTCCCATTCACCGAAATTCACTTCGTTTCTTACTAATTGCGTGCCTCTGATTAACGCTACTTTGTTTACACATTTCAATAGCGGACGGAAGAGTTTCGAGAAAATCATGATACTGTCAGAAAGAAGGGTTAATATTAGAACTGTCTAAATGACTATATAATAAATCAAAATGAAAAATATATTTCAAAGATTATATAATTTGAGATAAGAAATGAGTATTTATACGCATGCTTAGAATACGCAGAGAGTAGATCAAATTAGATTAAAAATATATATTCGTTGTGAAATTTTTGCATGGAAAACTACACACTTTAAGGTTCTATAGAAAATGATTCTGAAAATAGCAATCACAAGAAATAATTCAAATTTTAAAAAATTTTTTAAAAACTGAAATTTTTTATATGAAAAAATAAATAATTTAAAGGAAAACGTGAGAATTTAGAGGAAATTGTTCTGAAAATAATTCC